CCCAAAGAAGCTAATAGAGCTGCCTTTTCAATAATAAAACATGCCATTTCATCCTGACAACATAGCAGTTAATTTCTAATCTGAAAAATAGGAGCTGCCACACTTGGCTGTGTTGTTCCCTTCAGATATGCTGTTGATGACTCAGAATTATAGTTTTTTAGTCAACTTACCTATATTCAATTTTTAACTCTTCACTGAGTTTAGATGAAATGGAAAATGTGAAGACACAAGAGATCAGTGCTTTGAGGCTTCTAACTCCATTCCCTAATGCCCCACGTGACAAATTTTCTGCTTTTATGTTGCCATGTATTTGTGACACCATTTTGTGAGTAACAGCCAAACTTGTGTTCTGTCAGTACTTGCAATTATGGACAAGTAACTTGAGCTTTGCAGAAAAAAAGAAAGTTAAAATAAAAAACTAAATAGGGACCAGAGAGAGATAGTATTTGCCTTACATACAGCTGACCTCAGTTCAATCCCTGGCCCTGATGGTCTCTCTAGCACCACCAGGAATATCCTTTAGCATAGAGCTAGGAGTATGACTTGAGTACCACTGAATATGGCTTGAAAACAAAAACACAGAACCTAGGTAAATTATTCAGTAATTTCCAACTTTTTTAAGGTAGAATCTTGATTTTATTTTTCTTAATGTTGTTGTATTGATTGAGGTAATGTGATGTACAATACTATTAATGATGGTTTCCCATGAACATAATTGCATCAACAGTTTGTCTACTGCTCTCCCCCAAGGACCCCAAGGACTTCCTTCAACCTCAAAATTTTAATTATCATACAAGTCATCTTAAACTCTGAGGATTGTTTCTGAAAAAATCATGCCATAGCCATATCTTCTGATGTGACTGATTTTTTCTGAGTCTATACCATGCCCTCTAGGGATTTCTTCCCTGACTAACTATATATACTACAGTATTACATACATGTATACAAACACACACACACAAACACATTCATACACATATACTTAATTCCCACAAGTAATGACTCTGGGCACTTTTCCTTCGTGGCACTCACCAAAACACCTAATAACTTCATTTAACCCATTTGTTAACTTCTTTCCTGACTCTTCCACAAGGTGTAAGCTCCCTAGAACAGATTATTTACCATCTTAGCCTAGTATCATGTCTGACACTAGGAAGGTCCTCAAATATTTATTAAACATACCGAATAAATATAAAATCATACTGCATATATTATAAACACAAAACTAAACTATCTCAATCTGAAGTGAGGAATCCATGTCTGCAGTATACACATAGGAATGTATATAAAACATTATAATTATGTTTTATTGATTTATAATTTATGTTTTATTGAGCACTTTCTATGTGCCAGCACTTATGTTATGGATGAATGAAAGAATCCTAGAATTTCAGCATACCACAAAAATCATGTAAAACAAAACACAATCGAATCATGTTGCCTTAATTTCAACTTCATTTCTTAAGTTAAAATTTCCAATTATCATCTTGTAAACAAAAACTATGGGATAACAAATACATTGGCTATGTAAATGTTTCATTCTCTTTGGTGCACATTTTTAAAGCTAAACAGAGACTCAACATTTAAAAGGTATTCAGTAAAAAATTCAATTAAAATGTACTCATAAATAAATATCTGGTGTTGAGACCAGATAGAATCTCAGAAATAATATGAAAACATTATTTTAAATTATTAGTATTGTATAACTTTGTATTCTGATTTTAGTCTTTAATAGATGCAAACAAAAATAAAAAATATAACAATTAAATAATGAAGAATGCAGAGTGCTCTTGTTATTTCACTGATTTTCAATTTATGAAAATGATTAATAGTTGCATTCACAGAATCACTAGTTGCTTTATGTGCAGTTTTTAAAAAATCATTTAAATAAATATTTTTATTGCATTATATATCAGCTTCATTTCGTGGGTTAAAGTGGAGTCACCTGGGTTCTGATGCTTTTCATATCATCTTTCACAGAAACAAATCTTTCTATCTTATTTTTTGCTACCAATGAGAATACAGCTGTCTTTTATTAGAAATGTTTAACGTACTGACTCTATACGTGTAGAATTTTACATGCTTAACAGAAGATTTTAATATAGTTTTAGCTCCTGCTTGAGATAAATCAAACTCGAACTGACAAATAAGCAACTGTATCTGCAAGAAGTGGGGGGGTTGTCTGATTTAAAACTCTGAGGGCCTTAGAAGGACTTCAATCTTAGATTGCACAAAATGCACATTTTATTCAGCAAGACATAAAAGGCACTTTATTGCAGGGTTGTTCTTTTTTAAATTCACTAGACGAAACTGAAAACAATCTAAAGCATACTACATTAATAAAATTAGCCAGGAATAGAGAAAGAAAACAAGTAATAAAAATAGGATAATTTATCAATTTCTTTAGAAATCTGCATAAATATTTCTAACCTTAAATGATTTATCTGGCTCTTTTGTTTTCATATTCCTCTCCTATTACAGATATCAAGTTTTTTTTTAACATGGTCAAAATATTTCCCTGATTATTACTCTGTATGATTTTGTATAAATGCAAAGCAGTTTAATATTATGCGGGGAAATGGTTGATGCACACAATTCACTTCATAGATCTAACTTATTACCATCCTGCTGCTTGATAAAAAATGTAGTATTTGTTGCAAAAGTTTTATTCATCATTGGAGTTATTCTTTTCTTTTGTTTTTTCTGCTTAATTTCTTATAATAATGTCGTACCCTTCTGCTTACCTATAGATATATTAATGTCCCTGAAAACCTTGCCTTCACTTTTTAAAAAAATATTGGTAAAAATGCCTGCATATAATCTTTTAAGTTAAAAAATAAGTATTTGGTCAGTAATATAGTAGTAAGTGAAATTATAAGCAAAAATTATAATTAAAATTTTCATTTCCTTTTTTGCATTTATGTTTTTTAGACAACACAAAGTGATGTTTGGAGCTTATTTCTGGTTCTGTGTTTAGGTGCAACTGCTAGCAGTGCTCAGGGAACCACATATGGTGCTGGAGACTTATCCATGACCAAAAATTACAAGTGAATATTTTGACATCTACACAAAAGTTAGTTGGGCAAGAAATCTAAGCATCACTTCCTGGTTTACATATCATTACCAAAAGAAATGCCATCTTTAAAGATGAGACAGTAGGGGTTGGAGACACAGTACAAAGGTAAAGAGGCTTTCCTTGAAGGTGGCTGATCTTGGTTCAACTGCTAGAACCTTATATGATTCCCAAAACACTACCAGAACTGATCCCTGGGCATAGACCCAAGAATAAATACTGAACATAGCCAGTCCTGGTCTAGCAACCCTCCCACAAATAATTTTTTTTAAAAAAAGAGAGAAGATAATAGGACACACTTCCTTAAGAAAGTAGGGTTGGATCATGAATAGCCAAAACAATACTGGGGTGGGGAAATAAAAAAAAAAGGGAGACTTCCCTTTTCCAAATTTAAATTATACTACAAAGCTATAGTGATTAAGATAGTATGGTAGTGGGATAGTGACAGAATTGAGTGTCCAGAGACAGGTTTTCAAGTATATTAACAGAAAGAGTCAGGAGAAAGTCCGGAGTATTGTCAGGTGTGACCCAAAGCAAATAAACAACAACCCAAAAAAAGGCAACCTGCCAGAAGGGATCTCTGAGTGCAGGTATATAGCACTGTAGCACTGTTGCACTCCCGTTGTTCATCGATTTGCTCGAGCGGGCACCAGTAACGTCTCCAGTAACGTGTGAGACTTGTGGTTATTACTGTTTTGGGCATATCAAATACGCCATGGGGAGTTTGCGAGGCTCTGCTATGCGGGTGGGATACTCTCGGTAGCTTGCCGGGCTCTCCAAGAGGGACAGAAGAATCAAATGCAGGTCAGCTGCATGCAAGGCAAATGCCCTACCCGCTGTACTCTCACTCCAGTGCAGGTACATAGACAGATAATCATCAACAAAGGAGGAAAGACTGTGAAGTGGAGCAAGGAAGGCCTCTTCAAACAATGGTGATGGGAAACACGGTCAGCCACATGAAAAAAAGGAAAAGAACTCAAACTATGTATAAAAATTTAATTTTAAACAGATTAAAGACCTTGACATAAGACCTGGATCTAGAAATTATAATAAGGAAAGCATAGGAAGAGCCCTTCATGTTACTGAATCTAGGGACATCTTCGATGACTCAATACCACTTGGTCACACAAATAGAAGCAAAGATAAACAAATGGGACCACATCAAAGTCAGAAGCTTCTGCACCACAAAGAAAGTGATGACCGTAGTAAAATAATACCCCCCAAAGACTAGAAGAAAATTTTTATTCATCATTCATTTGGCAAAGGGTCAATATACAAGACATACAAAGCACTGGCAAAGCAACAAGAGCAACAAGAATAAAAAACAACCCTATCAAAAACTAAGGAGACAAATAAGAACTTCTTCAAATAATAAATATAGATAGCCAGTAGGTATATGAAAAAAATGCTCTCCATCATTTATCATTGGTGAACTGCAAATCAAAACAATAAGAGATCTCCTCATACCAATAAAAACTGGCACACATCACAGAGAGGAAAAACATCTGGACTGAGGACAGGTGGGTAGGTCCTTGCATGCAGGCAAACCAGATTAGATCCTTATATCCAGTATGGTCCCCAGAGCCCTGCCAGGAGTGATCCCTGAGCCAGGAGTAACTTCTGAGCACTGTGGAGTGTGGAGAAGAGACGGAGTAACATTTTTTATCATTATATTATGCTTCCTATGTTTGTTATGATCAAAGAAATGTATGATCTTGGGAATATGTTCTTTGCAATTACAATGGATGATTTTACCTGCCAAGTTCCTTATAGAGATGTATAAGAGGCTGTCTAAAATAAAGATCAATGTTGCTAAAGATCAATGCTGCTGTTCCACGAGAACTCAGTCCTCTCAACCACTTGTATATAGTTTCTTTGATCCTCACCTTCCCTCTCTACCCATTCAACTGCCGGCTGGACCGGCAAGTGGCTCCCAACATGGGGTTCGAATCCACAACCTTGAGATTAAGAATCTCATGCTCTACTGACTGAGCTAGCTGGGCAGGAAATAAGAAAAAGGTAGAAATAATAACAAAGTATACTGAAGAACACTCTGACCCATCCTGTGTACTTTTCATAATTTACCAAAGGTGTTATTTCCTGCATATGCCACAAAATCACAATGCGTCCATTTCTTATTAATTTCTCTTGCAAACTGAGGATGATGAAGTATTAGCTTCTCTGTAGGCTTGAGTTAGCGACACAATGACTACTCCACATATTAGAGGTGGCAAACAGAGAGCTATGCCAAGTACACTTGGCCCTCTGAATGGGGCAGCTACCAGAGCTAGGTCCACTTAAGGACCCTGCATAAGCAGGCAGCTCCCCGCAGGAGGAAGGGAGGTAAGGGAGGAAGAGTCCAGCTTTCATCAGAGCACATCATCTAGGAATACTGACTGGTGAGCTATGCTGAAGTTTGCAGCTCCCCCCCTCCCCCACCATTGCTAATGGTTTCTCTCCAGGAACTTTCAATAATCACATCCAGGCAGTTCTCTGGAAGCCAAGACTTCTGGCGATTACTGATTCAGAGCTGCCCACATGTCTCTCACAGAAGTATCTTATGTTAGCTTCCCTATTATTGCTCTGCATTACAAGGACATTCCCATCCTTGCAATGGCAAGAGAGCTCACTGGGTAGCTCTACTATGGTGGGTGCTGACCCATGAAGTTCTGCACACCCTGGAGGATCATGTCTGATCTCTCCTTCTGTGCAGATCCTGAAGAAATAGAAAAGGAAGAGAGGACTGTGACCAAGGAGGAGGTTCAGGGTGAAAAGTCTGCCCCAGTTCTCAGATTCACTGCTACTTAGCCTGAGGTTACAGATTGGTCCAAAGCGTACAGGTGCCCCTCTGTGCAGATTCAGCACTTTCAGCTGAAGACGGGAATCCTCAGCCTTTCACATAAGCTCCTCCTGCTGAGGCCACTGAATGGGTAGGAGCCATCACTGATGAGAATAAGGTTGATGGAAAATAAAGAGTTTTGAAAATAAAACAAGGGTTTTTTTTTTGTCTTTTATTTGGATCCAGAGAAACAGTTCAGTGACTGAGGTCCTGCTTTGCATAGAGGAGACCTAGTCTCTTTCCGAGTTCCCTGTGGTCCTTTGAGCACTGCTGTTATCTGTTAGGACAGAGCAAAGTAGCTCCTTTCCCACTGTCTCACCAATAGGTGTTAATATCCCCCCCAAAAAATAAACAAAAAGATGTATTTATTGACTAAAGTGCTGCTTCCAAACTAATAAACTTAAATAGAAAGTTTAATGACCAATCCTATGTCTTTACAGATTCTTCACTTTTCCTGCCAGCCCATCTATCTTCCAATCTCAATTTTATGGACATGTGTTTTGAAAATTTTAACATCATTATTTCCTTCTCACTCACAGAGAAGCCGCTGTCATATTCTGATATGTTTTATTATTCTCTTCATTTTGACCAAAATCAAAGAAAAAAAGTTTTAGTAACTCTAGGTCTTTGTTCCTTGCAAATCTAACAGCTGCCACTTCTTTACTAGCTTTCCTGTTAATTGTTGTAATTGTCTTAAGTATGAGAAGCAAAATTACTATTCTAAGAAAATCTTTTATTTTCTTCCTTAGTATTTTTGGGTCAGTAAAGAATGAATGAGGGACTTGGAATGTAGTTCAGCATTAGACCACTTGCCTTTTATGTGTGAGCATTAAGTTCAATCCTTTGCATCACAAAAAAAATTTAAAAAGTAAAATATGAACGTGGTGGTGTACTCAATCAGCTTGGCTTGCCATGGGCTTCAATCCTCCATTCAAAAACAGTTAATGAGAAATATGCAAAAGGAATCACAATGCACTCTCTCTACTTGAGTACCAACTGTTATACATAGGATGTTTTATGTGAAAAGGGGAAAGGACTTCAATTTGAACTGGCCTCAATACAATGATAGAAACTGCCCTAAACTGTGTTTATGAAATAAGAAATCTAGATGTCTATGATGTGGTACTGGAAGAAAAATTAGCTCAAGAAATTTCTGTTTGTAAGCAGAACTTAAAGTAGAATATAGATGGACAAGGACATGTTAGGAAGAAAACAAACTATTTCTATCTCCATTCCTCCCAATCCATTAAAAAACAATCTTAAAGGGCCAGAGAGATATTATAGGGGCTAAGGCAGATCTGTTGCACATAACCAAAAGTAGTGAGTGGTCACAAGGTCAACCTAAAGTCAACCTGCAGCACATAATGGTTCCCTGAATACCACCAGTAGTGATATCTGAGCACAGAGCCAATAGTAAACTGAGCACCCAAATCCTTCCTCCAAAATATTGTCAAAGTAATAAATGGTTTAGGGCTAAAAATTAAAAGGAGACTATAATTTCTTTTGTTAAAAATTCTGAAAAATTTAAGAATGTACTTACAAGACACTCTTAGACACACACAAAAAATGGCTTTTAAAACTCTGAAAGTGATCTTCCCTAGCAGCCTGACATACCACAGTAAAAAAAAAGCAACCTGCCTACATAAGAACGGTGGATGTGCCTTCTGGATCTGAATCAGAGTCATTTGAAATTCTCAAAAACGATGAAGGTCAACTATAGTGAGAAAAGCATCATCATCTTAGACTAAAAGTATTATACATTAGCTCAAAATAAAAGGAGGCCAAAGAAAAAGAAACTAAAATAATAATAATAATAATAATAATAATAATGGAGGCATCTGAGCAACCAACCCTGTTCAGGAATGGAACGCAGAAGGGAAGGAAGACATCCAGAGTTCGTCCAAGGGAGGAATGCCATCTCAGAGGGCCAAGAACTGTGAACAATGCACATCACTCTCAGAGAGCTTGGAAAGCAAAGGCTGAGGAAACACTCCCAGGAAGTAGGAAGTAGAAAGCAGAGATTGCACCTAAGCAAGGACAACTTCCTGACTGCAGTCAACATAGGCCATGTGGTTCCAGTGGCTTCACTCCTCCCCCATCAAATGACTCTATTGTATGTATTACATTCTTGTCTTACCATTGTGTCATTGTCTATCTTTGTTGTTGCTGTTGTTTCTTGGGTCACATCCAGCAAAGCTTGGGAGTTACACACAGCTCTGTGCTCAGGGGTCTCTCCTGGCAGTGCTCAGAGACTATACAGTGCCAGGGATCCAACATGGGCCTCCAAATTGCAAAGCGTGTGCTCAGCCCATTGAGCCATCTCTCCTGTTCATAATTTATCTTTTTTTAGTCACATCAAATCAAGAGGAGCTGCGTCCAGAAAGTCACTTCCAGACTTGATTACAGATCAAGAGACCCTTGACTTTGAACCTGATAATGAAGATGAATACAGTGACTGGGTGAAACTGAGGGGGTCTCAGCAGGACAGGAATGCATTTATCATGTAGGAGGGACCTAGTCATCAGGGCAGAGGCTGTCTGTGGTAGATTGTGCAACAATAAATTCTCATTATTCACACTTAGCTGTGTCCATACCGAATCATCTACTGCTCTGTGGACTTAACCATGTGACTTGTTTTAGTCAATGAAACAATAGCAAAATAGAAGTAGCCAGAACCTTGAGGTGTGCCTGCTTCAGCTGCTGTTAGAACCACAAGGTGAACATGCACAGGCTCGCCTGCTGGATGATGAAAGATAGGAGGCCTAGTCATTTCTATTTCCCCATGCAATAGTCAGTAACCTCTAGAAGCAGAACCAACTAGATGACCAACAGTTGGCCACACTTATGTGAGTGAAACTAGTCAACCACACAGTAGAGCTCATCCAAAATTACCACACACAAGCAACAAGCTAAGTATCTTTTAAGCCTCTAACTTTATGGTGCCTAGTCCATAGCAAAGCATATTCTAGGAACTGAAGGATAGCTCAAAGGGTTGTAACAATCCCTAGCACCACATGTTCTCGCACTGGGTGTGGTCCTCCTGAGCCTCAGAAACACTATATCCAAGACATTGAATTACCAGGTCCAAGCTTTGAATTGTCTGGCCTGACCTACCAAGTATCACTGAAAGTGATCCCTGGATCCCCTGAGCATTGCTTAAGAGCAGGAGAAAGAGGAAGAGAGAGAAGAAGTGGAGGAAGAGGGAGAAGCGAGGAGGAGGAGGATGATTTTAGTTTATGTTAAACAAATCATAGTCTTCTACAAACTCAGTTTATGTTTTAGTTTATGTTAAACAAATCATAGTCTTCTACAAACTTAGTCCACCTTGTATTTATACACTCTACAGTCTGAGAATAGTTTTGGAGCTGGAGAGATAGAAGAGATTAAGGTGCTTGCCTTGCATGTGACCAACCCTGTTTTAATTTCTGGCACCACATATGGTTACCCACAGGGTCACTCCTGAGCACAGAGCCAGGAGCACGTCCAGAGAACTACAGGATATGGCCCCAAAACAAACAATTTGTAAATTGTTGTATGGAAAAGTCAAAAGAAGGTTCTTTTTTTTGACATATGTAGCACTGTAGCATTGTCCTCCCATTGTTCATTGATTTCCTCAAGTTGACACCAGTAACATCTCTATTGTGAGACTTCTTGTTACTGTTTTTGGCATATCATATATGGCACAGCTCTGCCGTGAGGAACCGATACTCTAGGTAGCTTGCCAGGCTCTCCGAGAGGGGCGGAGGAATTGAACTAGGGTGAGCTAGGGTTGGCCGCGTGCAAGGCAAACGCCCTACCCTCTGTGCTATCGTTCCAGCCCTTTGACATATGAAATATATTAAATTAAAATTTCAGTGCTGATGAATTTATTTTAACGCAATCACACTAATTTATATATTATATATGACTGCATGTGTACTTTGATGACAAAGTTGAATACTTGAAATAGACAGAAACTATATGAAGCATTGCTTATGAAGCTGAAAATATTTGCTATCTGGTCATCTGTGAAAAAAAGTTTGATAATCCCTGTTTCTAGGTAAAGTGTTGTTTAGTTTTGGCCAAAAAATGACACAGTTGAAGTTTGGCATTAAGATGAAAATAGGATGTGCCACATCTTGGCAGTTCTGGCACTAGCTAATTTTGGGCCACCATCCAAACCCA